AGCAGAAAATCTGGCAAAATATATTGACTAATGCAGTTCAACCAACTTACACAACCTTCTCTAAAAACTACATGTAAAATATCTGCCCCCAAAACAATAAAGTGATAAAAACACACTCCTAAAAACTCCTTTMTTCCTGGTACAAAAAAATGATTATAATGAGCAGTTTGAAAAAATCACAAGTTCAAAACCACTCAATTTTTTTGTCATAGCTTATGTGGCTTAAACTGTTTTTAATGAGATGTCAGAAACWGAGCGCAGATCTGTCAGGTTGCACCTGCTCTCCTCCACCTGTCAGTCTGAGAGAAGAAGGAAGACAAATTTTCCTATTAAATTAAACAAAGRCAGCTTTTTCAAAATTTTGTGCAAATACAGATGGTCATGGCTTGGCAGTAACAAAGCTATGAGTTTGCTTGWATATCTGCCTAATAAAGTGTTAATTAGCTAACATAAGCTTGTTAGGCTGAAKATTACTTTGCAAAAATTAGAACAACATAACATTTTGTGCATTAAACATTTTACTTTGTTATAAATAATGCAGCAAGTGTTAATTGTATATTTTTGTTTAGTTTTTTTGCCATTGTGTTTTATATGTAAGAAAACAGTGATCATAACATCAAAGTGCTATTCAGGCTCATGCCTTGAGAGACCAAAACACAGAGGTTAGATTTAGTGATTTAGACCCTTTTAACTCTCCATWGTACTATAGATCTCATAATTAAACCAGGCTTTACTATGTGTACATTTACCTACACCTATACATATTAGGAGTGTCCTGATACCAGTTTTTCTCAAATCGAGCACTTCAGTTTGGGTCTTCGCCAGTATTGACTTAGAACCTAAACATTAGACAAAGACTTTAAAAAACATGTATTTTATTTAGAACAAGGTGGCWCTGCTTCATAGTCCTACACTTCTGKTGYAACATACTGTTGCAACATTTCATTTTATATAAAAATAATAACTAAGAATATTTTTTTAACAACATGGAAATGACTACAGGTATATAAAATCCTTAAAAGAAATGACTAAGTAAAAGTAAAAATATCTCAACTGAAAATGACTTTGGCAAAAAAAATATTTCACTGATAACAAAAGTAAAAGCCAAAAAACTGCTCACACTGATTTAGAATTAAAAATTTGAATGGAATAGTAAAAAAGTAAAAGTTAAGATAAAAAAGAAAGAAACTTTAAAATTACTTATGTATTGTAATGTAAAGTAAATGTACTTAGTTACAATACACCTCTCAAATTGACAAACTTCTGCCAATTCTGTTCAAAGTGAGCATTTGMATATTTTTATCACAATAAACTTACAACATATTTGATTTTGCTATCGCTTTGCATTACCTWCTACTATAATACTGTTTTGTCATTGCATCTTATTGATTACATGACATCAATATTGTCAGAGGGCCTTTAGCCATTGCTAAACTGTGCAGTACAATACTCTCATAAATAAAAAAGGAACAAAGAGTTGGCTTCCATCCTTCACATAAATGAACCAGTACAAAGAGATGGCTCAGCTGCAACTGACAAATCACTTGTTTGATATTTGTTTTCCAGAGAGACGGAAACCTTTGACTTTGTCTGAATAGGACACAAAAATAACCATGGAGACAACTTAAAAGAGAAGTAAAAAATATTTGACCAATTCACTCTTAAAGATTTTTTTAATAAATATATTTTCATTTTTTTGTGTTATATTACATTTTAAATTCTACTATTATTGTTCAACATACGCTCTTCCTAAGTCCTTCTTGTTGGACAGAACAGTTTTGTGGTCAACATTTTGCAGCATTTCCTTGACTTTCCATCTACTACACCCCCGCTGAACGTTTTCTGTGGCACTTATGTAACATAAGTGTTTGATTTACATCCACTTGCGCGTGTGCGTTGTGTAAAGCAAGCCAAGATGGAGGCTGTCTTCGAAATGCACTGTTTGCAACAGTGGAAGAGATAAAGAAGGTCTGTGTTTCCTGGCACTGTTGCAGATTTATCTCTCTGCTCACGGCTCTGATTTTATTGCCTGGCTGGCCTCAACTGGATACCATGTCTTTTCTCTCTCTCTTTCTCTGTCTCTCTATCTTGCTCTCTACTTCCCACAAAGTAGGAGGCACCTGCCTTTTTATTTATTTATTTATTTATTTATTTATTTATTTATTTATTTATTTTGCTATTCATGTTTGGGTGGCTACAAATCTGCCACATTGCTCCATAAAGCTGCTTAGGGCATGGCTCAACAAATATCAAGGAAGAAGAGAATAAATAAATAATGGCTAAATAAAAGAGAAACTCTCATTTGGAGGGAGACAACATTTCTGCACACAAAATGAAGCCCMACTGTAAAATATTTACTTCAGAGTCTCGGTGCATTGGACACTGCAGGGAGTCTGTGGAAGCTCACTGCAGAACACAACACAACACACACTTCTACTCTGCCTCACTTTAGTTGATGGGAGTGCCAGACTCTTTTGCAGCAAACCATTAGGGGGAAGACCTTGGCTTTTCAAAGGCACAAATTAAACAATCAGCCTGCAGAAATTGGTTGCTCAGGGTATGTTTTTTTTTCTTTTAAACTACCTGAGTCATCATCAGGATTGTTTTTGATTGAGCTCAAATTAACAATGCACCTTGAGCAAGGTAAAAAAGATGTTTGACAAACACACATTTATCAGACACTGAGGGTTTACCAAAAGATTGCTCAATAAACATATGAAGCAGCATGAAATAGAAAACGTCTGGCACCCCAATGTCAAAACTAAACAAATTAAAAAACAAGATTATCAGACTTTATAGTTGAAAATTACTATCTTTATCAAAGGCCAACTGTATACTACATATTTAGCAACTTTGGAAAGAATTTCAACCCATAATTTAAGTTCARTTTTTGTCTCTAGTTGTCATTTTTGCAGTGAAAGCACTCTGATTCTCTTAGATTTGTATGTTTTGGGGGGTATGCTTTTAAGGTTTAGTAAAAGATTTTCAATGATATTAGGGTTTTTCAAAGTCATTTCAATGTTGAATTTCATGTAATATGATCATTATTGTACAAGTCACTGTGCCATTTGCACAACTGGTGGTGTTTGCATTCTAAGTTTGTGGGTTATTAATTGCATTAATTTCTCCATCATTTTATGAAATGTTCAACTGTAGCAAAAGCCATACAGCATGTATGAGTAAGCTCAGTACGAACAGTTTGAGAGCCAAATATTTCTATACCTTCTGCTACAGTTCATGGGACTTGTTCATAAAAAGATCAGACTTTTTCAGATGTTCATTTGCAAACCCCTGATGCATAATTTTGTGGTAAAGATTTTTTGTTTCTCATCTCTCTTGTATGAAGGCCACATTTGTCTTTGCTTCCTTGTGGTTTTGGTCCTTTGCAAAGGTTTTTTTTTCTTATAAACCAAACAGGGTTTGATTTGGTCTTTTTTATATAGAAGCAGCTTTCTCAGAAAGTTACTGAAAGCAAAGGACGAGAATTAATACTAAGCATTAGGTACTTTTATATTAATACAATAAGAAAAATGTGTCTTGTATTAAGTTTATGCTTTTTGTTTTAGCTAAAATACTTTTTTAAGTTTGTACTGCTCTAAAGGCTGCAGGTATTTCAGTTTACACAACAAATGCGTAGAAACTCACAATTCAGATGGACAACTTTAAAAGGTTAGAGTCTATTTATAAAAGATTGATTTTCTTTTGTTTCTTTTAACCTTTCTTGATAACGATTTTTAAGAGTCATAGTCCTGAAAAATGCTTGGTCTGCTACCCTTACATAATTTATCTCAGGGTGCAATAACTTTTCAGTCTTTGTTGCTCTGTATMCCATATAAAATTGTATAAAGTTTTATTCAAATGTAAAAATGAATGCCTGAATTAAGCACCATATTTCCCTGCTGTTCCCAAATGTTTTTTTTACTCAGTGATTAWTATTTGACCTCTACCACTCTAAAACAGATCATTCTCCCATTAAAGCTGTTTCTCAAGAAATATTCCTGTTTTATGAAAGCGCACCAGCCATTTATTACCACACACACACCAGCGCAAACTAARGCACAAGATAAGAAGCACACAATTAATCACAAAGCAAACAGAAGAAAGAGCTAACAATGAGGATTTAAACAACTGTGAGACATTTTCAAGTGGGAAGCCTTTTCTGAAGATCTCAGTGGAATAAAAGATAGAGACAAATGACACCAATAGCTTAAGGGCCCCCATTGTGCACCCTGTTCATGCATGGGTGTGAGTAGGCTGACATGTGAAGCTGAGCCTGTCAGTTTATCAACAGCAGCAATTTTTCACCCTTGATCAGCCATCCGTGGAGGCATTTCAAATGAACTACCTGCATTCCAGCAGCATCTGATAGAAGACAAAAGGTGAGCGCTCAGTAAATTATTGTACCTTCTATGCCTTTGTCTCCACACCTTTCTTTCTGTCACAAACTCTTGCAGTCCTCTGTTTTCCCAGACCTCTCAGTCTTGTCTGATTGGCTTCAACGTGACAGACACATTAGCCATTCACGGAGCAGCAAGCACCATGTGGACAGTGGACTGTGCCCAGAAAACGAGCAATATGCTGTTGCAGAAAGAAAAACAAACAAACAAATAAACAACTTGCATATACCGTCTTCTGCAGGCATAGCCACGTGGTAATCCCATTGTGACCCCACGTCAAAAGAGACAAACAATGCCGACAGAAAGCGGCCGCCTCTCAGTGCGGTGAGCCCGTGTATGGAGCCCTGGCACCATATGGGCTCTCCATTGTTGACAAAACAGCCTTAGGGATATTAGCACCCATAATTTGCATATGAGGAAACCACTCTTGCAATTGTTTTTCCTTTTGTTATCTCTCCAGCCAATAAAAGCGCCATCACTGATCTGCATACGATGCCTGGGAGGCGTGCTGGAGATGATTTGTAAAGTCATCCATTTCCTGTCATTTGGAAGCAACTCAGACACGACTGACAGCAGCTGGAAGAAATCCCACGATGATCTTACCTAGTTGCAGCTCCATGGTGCTAATCTTGTTTTCCGTGGGAAACAGGATCTTTGGTGGCTTGTCGGTCAAAGGAGCTGAAAAAGAAAACAGACATGATTTGACAAGGCAATGCTCAATCTATTACTCCTTTTTCTAAACACATTTTGTTGCCTCTTTGCACTCACTGCAGGCTTTGAGTTTCATTAATTCAACCTACTTCTAATTATTCAAGCATTACTACTTTAGCAAGAACATGGCATCATTTAATCTGTGTAAGTGTTAGGTATCTGAAGAGCCATCATGAAAAATGTGTGCGCCTCAGTAAGAGGGAGCAGCTGATGCTCTAATGATGCTAATCATCCATACGGTGGATGTCAGACCTGCTGCTTAAGTCTCTTCTCTGGGGAATGTCAGGATATGCAGCAGTTTTATTGTTCCTAAAAGCCTTTCCGTGTTGTGCAGGAGAGGCTGTACTCTTTGTAAAGGTGGTGTGAAAACAAAAAAAGGTTCTTTTATTAACAGAATTAAAGACATACAAGGAGAGACAGATGCTATATGCAGATTTTTAGATGTCTTGATCATGAGGCATTCATTTACCTACTACAAGACAAGCAACAATAACATGTAGAGTTGAACCATAGCAGAAAAATAAGGACATTTGTGTTTGACAAATTATTTCTTTGTTGTAACAATGCTTCTTTGCAACAAKTATACCATTGGGAAGTCTGTTAATTTCCATTCTAAATGATGCCACAATTGTAAGAAACGTGTTTGTGGGATGAGCAGTAGAGCTGAGTGTGTGGGTTGTGCACATGATCATTTGAATTGTTAGAACAAAGAYATAACCTACCAAACACAAATTACCTTATTTTTTCTGCTAAATTTAGTTGTTAAGAAAACACCTTCATTTGGACAATGGCACCTCAAATATGAGCTGCTGATCTGAACCAACATCATAAAATGCCTTCAATACTTTCACTTTGATTCAGTTGAAAGTTGATATGACGATGCATYGTTTGTCCATGTTCAGCTAAAATATGTTTATTTTTGTTTACTTTGATTCTCCTCTCCAGGCTAATCCAGGATTAAGGATGCCAAACAGGTTCAGGTTTTCTTCAACTTTATTCCTCTGGTATGCACTGGGTGTGCTCTGACAGCACAATCCACTCTACCAAGGCTGGTTTAAGACAATTCAAGCCTTAAAATGTGAACCTTACAGTGGTTTTCCATCATTTTACACCTCAGTTATTAATTTTTCTTAAGAGTCTCCATGCTATGGGACTACCACAATTGTTTAAACCTTTCAAATTTTCCACTCCAGCTTGAACAATTAGGTCTATAAATCATTTGCTCAAGGACATTCTAAGATTTTGATCAAAAACAGTGATGAGAGTGCTGTTTTGGTGCAGGTCCCTAATCTATGAAAAAACTAATATTTTTACATAAAAGTGTGTAAACTATCGATCATCTAAACTTCATTTAATTTCAAATTAATCAACCATGCTTGAATACAGTTTAATTCTCATGAGCTTTTAGTTTTAGTTGAAGAAGAAAATATTTCACTTTCATTTTACAAGTTTATTCCCTTTTGTTAACTTTTATATTAAAATTGGTTGTAGACCCAACCTGACATGATGGCACACCGAATGGATGATTAAATTGATGACACACAATTTCATTTAAAAACWAGCCTTCACGCCTAAAACTCTAAACCAAAAGAGTTTTAGATAAGAGGAAAAAACATTAAAATCAAAAGAGAACTGGTCTTTTATTTATTCACAAAGACACATTTAAAATGTGATTTTACCCCACAGTTTGCTGATAGGCAAAATGTTGTTTGATGTGCATGGTTGTGTAAAGTTCTTGGTTCAATGCATCATGAGTTAACTAAGACTGGATCTGCCAGGGTGAACTGTTTCTGTGACACCACATAGACTTATTGAGTTGATCATGCTTTGCTCTGATAACACCTTTTTTCTCTCTCTTATGTCAAATATCAGATACAACACCTGCTTGTATAAATAGTGACTGAAAGGCTCAATGACTTCTGAGAGGGGCGGTCATGGACTTTTAGGCTCAACTGTTTGCACTGTTAATAGGTAATCACACCACACAAATTACACTGGATACTGATACAAATTTAATTACATGTCAAACTACTTTACATAATTACACAATGGGTGATCCTATAGCTAATTATAAGCCTGGAAAACAAATGGAGACAATCTGTGTTGGGGAACAGATGAATGGAAGCAGATGTGGTAAAGAGAACAAAATAAGGAGGAAGCACAGAAAAAAAGTTAATGAAATATCCAAAATGCAAAAGAAATAAAAATCAAGAAAATTACTCCATCATGAGCATGTCCCTTAACTCCACCCAAACTTCTCTAATTTTTTAACTACTTTTATGCAAATATCAATTATCATATCTCAAAAGGGAAACACCACTGAAATCAAAACTTATGGTACGTTCACACRGAACGCGTTTTGAGCTGCAGGAGCGGCCGGTGCAAAGTCTATGGTGGACGTGCCTCTAGGGGTCATGCGTTGCGTACCTACGTTTTGGGCAGCGTGCAAGGAAGGCAGAAGGGGCGCAGTGCGTTTTCCACACATGCGATGCTGTGGAAGCAGCCGCCGCCAGAGTTCAAAAATCTGAACTTTTCACTGCTCGACGCAGACGGACTGGAGATCTTTACCTGAAATCGACCGTGGCAGTTGGATTTTCTGGCAGGACATCTCAGTACCGATGTGGATCAGCTGCTTGGGACAAATAAAAATAGCAGCTTCTGGAGTGACGAAACTAACCGAACAAATTGCCTCTAAATCATCGGGTGAGATAATTATCTGCTGTGCGCAACGTTCGCTTGCGCTTTAGTAAATAAATCAAAGCCATTTTTTTATTTTATCTTTAATTCACCCGCCGAGGACAGGCYCTCCTCCCACACCCTGCTGCAGCCACTGCTGCTGCTGCTTCTCGTTCTGGTCTGAACATAGTGCGTCCAACTTGAGGCGTTTTGRGCTTTTTGGCTGCTCAAAACGCGRTCGGTGTGAACGTAGCATGAGACTTTCTAACTGCTTAATTTGATATAACCAAACAAAATCAAGTGGTCAGATACTAAACAGGACTTAAAAATARAAATATACACCTCTAGAAGGCTTTGACACAAAGGTGTGTAAATGTCACACAAAAAGGGAAATTATATCTTATGATAATCATCTCTCCATTTTATTTAGCTTATTCATAGTTGGGACATGAAGGCAACAGGTCCTCCTGGGGGATTCCAATGGCTGTGTCTCAATTCATAGGCTGGGTCCTCATGAGCACATAGCCCAGCTGGGCCATGTGGACCACATCCTCCCCGGGCCAGGTAGGCTGCTGAAATGAGACGGTTTACCCTTCYCCTGACGTCGGCTTTATGTAAGTTTGCATGACCACACSCTCCCCCTTTACCATAGTGATCAGTTTCATATCAGACAAAATGTATTGGGACATGTATTTACACGTCTTATTACTGGAAGAATAACTTCACAGTTAAAATGTTACACGTAAAAACAAAACAAACTAAAAAAAAACATTAATAATTCTGGTTTAGCTCCAGTATCAGCACTTGTAGTTGCATTTTCTTATTTAACATCTTATTGCAGCATACATTTCTTCAGCTAAGTTCCTAAACTTGCTTTTTAAAACAAATTCTTTGGTCCGTGGTGAATTTCCAAACAATGCCAACTCGTTAAYAAAAATAAACAKTCCACCGTCTTCGTTCCTCTGTTTATTTTGCTGCCCGCACATTGAATCCTGGGATATTCTCGGCCGGTGAGGATGCACAAACGCATCCTCGGATTTTCAGAGTTTGTCGGCTGCATTCCTCGGCCGCATGAGAAGGAGCCTTCAAATCGGGACAGTACCCGGTGTAAGGCAGTGCCGTATGCTGCCAACAAAAGTGTAGACAGATTGGATCAGTTCCAATTCCATAGGACTTTTAACATCCAGCAGACTTTCTGCTGAGTCATGACAGTTTTTTTGTGTTCTGTATTTTGGAATCTTCTCCGTGTTTACATCACCTCGCTTTCTGTTTGGCTACACATCTCATTCAACAGGCTTTGAGAGCTCGGTTGAACACTACACACACTGTGAAATCGGGCCAAAAAATCAAACATGTTGAATATCCCCGATTTGAGGTCGGAGTGGTCCTGACGTCTTTCCGAGCTGACTAGATCACTCATTTCACCARCCATGGCAGGAATATCTGCTATGATTATCTTTAGAGCCATCACAATAATCTGGACTTCCTTAAGATTGTCAGAAGGGCAAAAATCGGCCTGATTTTCTTGTAGTGTGACTCAGGCCTAAGACAATGGACTCAGAATCTTATATCTAGAATAGACTTAATGCCACATTTCAAATTTCAGCCTTGAACTCCTCCTTGTATATTTAATAACAAAAAATTCTAAACACAATTGCATGAATATAGAATAATAAGAACAATGAAGCACTTAATCTCCTAAAAATAAGCATGGATGACTTTGTGAAATATAAAAAACATGTTTTGAAATGGTAAATGGCTTGAACTCAAATAGCGCTTTATCAAGTCCACTTGGATCCCAAGGCGCTTTACACTTCAGACATTCACCCATGCACACACACTCACACACTCATGGTGGTAAGCTCCAGCCACAGCTGCCCCGGGGCACACTGACAGAGGCAGGGCCACTTGAAGTTAGTTCTTAATCATTTACCTAATCATGATGTTCATGTCACAAAACATTATGTTGGTCTTCTGTATCCTAAATTCTAATCCTGCAGACACTCAAATTCAACAGCTCGAAAACGTTAATAAATAATTTTTTTCTGGAACATTTAGTCTTAATGTTGCAGAAATGGCAGCTTCATTTATCAGAGCTTCAAGTAAAATTTAGATTTTTTTTCTTGACACCAGTTTGTACACTTATGGCACCTGAATGGATTGCTTGGAGTCTTTGTGCAAATTTGAAGCTCTTTGATCAACGATCCACTGTAAAACATTGAAAAGTGTCCAGAAAACAGATAGAATGTATCTTTCTTTGCAGAAAACTAAGTTTAATACCTATTCAAGTGAGACAAAAAATGGTTTTGCGCTAAACTTTTTGGACACTTCATGACACTTGGGTTGGATGAAGCCTAATTAAATACAGCTGCACAGGAGTTACAGAACACACAGAAAATCTCTTTTAACACTTTAAAAATGCTGCTCAAACGCAATCTTTGTGATCCTTTGGCCTTATACTTAATGATGCTCTTATTATCTAAAAACTATAATAGTATTTGTGAACCTCAGTGACAATTTGGGGAGGAAAAAACTGCAACATTATTACACTATAAATATGCAACTACTATAACAGGCATCCACTCTGGGAAAAAAAATCTCGATAGGACTTATTACCCAGATAAATACACTATAGTTTGAGATTGGGTCACAGGGGCATCAGATTAAGCAGATAGTTCTAGACTTCCCTCTTCCCAMGTATCTCTTACAGCTCATCTGGAAAGACTTCATTTAATTCTCAGGTCAGATATAATCTCTCCAGTGAGTCCAGGGTCTGAGGTCTTTGCCCAGTGGGACATGTCCTAAATGGAGGGCGTCCAGAAGGCATTCGTCCCCCCCCCCCCCCCCCCCCCCCGGTGTCTGTCATGTGTGTGTTTCTTCGGACGGATGTTCTAAACTGCAAATTTCAATCTACATTGCATCTTGATGTTGTGTATGAATGACAATAAACGACTCTTAATTCTTGATTCTCTTGATTCTTGATCCTCGCCACTTGCCCAAACCACCTCAGCTAACTTTTTTTGATGCAGAAGAGTAGCGACTCTATTTTGAGCTCCTCCAGAACAGCCAACCGTATCACTAAAGGCTGAGTTATAGTCGCATTTTGGAGCACACGCGCACCCTTGCCGGTGGTGGAGATATTTATACTTGGCATTGTATATTGGAGATGTCTCCAAAATGACATGTGAAATTACACTTTATAACTTGTGAAAATGTTGTAAGTAGGAGAACAAATGCTTGACAGACACACTCACAGCCTTTGCAGAGTTAGAAAAATTTGGAGGTGCACGACCACGCGCCAGGACAGCACGTGGTGCCAACACGTAGGGGCGGGGACGGCACAACTGCATCACTATTGGTGCATGCCCCCTCGCGCCATGTGCGACACATCAACTATAAACCAGGCTTAAAAGTGATTTCATCCACACTATGAAGAAAGCTAATTTCAAAAGCTTATATTAGAAAACCATCTCAGTTTTTCCGTCATGATCCACATGAGGCTTGTAATATGAATGAATGGTATTGGAAGCTTTTTCTTTTTTCCCCACAACAGACTGGTACAGTGCCCATATCACTACAAACACCCTCCCCTTTTATATTCAGTACCCACACTCATAAACAAGACCCCAAGGTACTTAAACTTCTCGTTTGGGGGCAATAGCTCATTACCAACCATAAATGGCAATCTATCGTTTTCTGATTTAGTTCCATAAAAACATGCATTTACATTTGCTTAATTTTTTTAATTTCTTTGTCATCAGTGTATGTTCCCATACAATGACAATGTTTGTGCTCTGCATTTGAGCCATCACACATGGGAAACACCCCAAAGGAGCAGCAGGCAAATATGCAAGCACCCAGGGGAGCAGTTGGGAGTTGGGTGTCTTGCTCAAGAACACCATGACATYTGGMCATGGAGGGAAGTCGAACCTGTGACTTTCTGGTCCCAAGCCGGCTGCCCTACCATTAAACCACAGCTGGTTAAGGGTTATTTTTCTTTGTTTTTTATAAAAATTTCAACGGAATATTTTGACTCRAGTTTGTAAATCTTGAAATGGAAACTGGCTTTTGTTTTATCACATRTTGACCCTGAAACAGTCTTTGTGAGATAAAACATGGTTAAAATGATGACTTGCATAACTGAAGTGAGCCCGTTTAAAATAAGATAGAAAGAATGACAAAGCATCACACTTTTGATTTTATCAAGTCACACATTACAACTACAACTTTATTGAAAAAAAAAACAACTTTAAGTTACATTTTCATTAAATGGATGCTTGAAACTATTCTTGTTATCTTGAATTTACACCTTTTTGATCTGTGATCTCATTTTGCAGACTTTTTATTTTATTTTCTAATMTTTTTGATTCTAAAAATCTCAGTAAGTTCTATATAAACTTTTATACAAATATTCACTTTGTTTTTTGTCCCTCTTTATATTCAGATAAATAGTGCTTTCATCACAAGGATTACCTTAGCCATAAAAGTTCTTCATAGAAAGTTGAAGCATGTACGTATATGAAACAAAAGACTGGACAGCGTGTTCAAATCACTGGTCTTGTATATTTTGGAAAACATGTCAAAATAAGTGGCTGGATGCTTCTATTTAAAAATAGATATAAAACAGCTACAACCAGGCTTTGAGAGTGATTAGAGAGAAGCTTTGCATGTTTTATGTACAGTATGTTGGCCTGAGTGTTTTAYCACAGCATGGGACTCTACGGAGAAAAAAAAAAGCTTTGTGATCACTCATCCACAATTCCAATTTTGCTTGGTGGTAAAGCTCAGTGGACCTTCCAGCTGGATTATTCCAGGTGACCAACTGTAGGCAAACAACAAATTAATTAATTAAAGGAAGAACTGAGATACTTGAATCCTTGGGCTTTTTCTGTTAGCTGTCACATTTATGGTGGCGGAGGGCAGGATTTGTAGAGCAAAATTGTTCCAAATGGAAAAATGAAAAGGAGTCAAATGTACAAATGGCCATCACGTGARAGAGGCCGACACACATTCATGAAGTGACACATATGCGTAAGATTCTGAACAAAGGACTGTTGTGTCTTCATGAATTTTTTTTTGTGATTTCTATTTTAAGCAACAGACACAGTCAAGCAGAAGAAAAAAAAGAAGAAAAGAAAAGAAAGAAAAAATATTAAAGTATCTCAAACTGATAAACCTGAACAGAGACTGGTCTATTTTTTCTACAGCTACGAAACTCCTGCAC